GCTCACGCCTGTAATCCCAGCACTTTGGGAGGCCGAGGCGGGTGGATCACGAGGTCAGGAGATCGAGACCATCCTGGCTAACACGGTGAAACCCCATCTCTACTAAAAATGCAAAAAATTAGCCGGGCGAGGTGGCAGGCGCCTGTAGTCCCAGCTACTCGGGAGGCTGAGGCAGGAGAATGGTGTGAATCCGGGAGGCAGAGCTTGCAGTGAGCTGAGATCCGGCCACTGCACTCCAGCCTGGGCGACAGAGCCAGACTCCTTCTAAAAAAAAAAAAAAAAAAGTATTGAGCAAATGAATGGAAATTGTTTTTAAAATTTTGTATTAAAAATTTCAACTGGCCGGGCACGGTGACTCACGCCTGTAATCCCAGAACTTTGGGAGGCCAAGGCAGACAGATCACGAGGTCAGGAGTTCGAGACCAGCCTGACCAACATGGTGAAACCCCATCTCTACTAAAATTACAAAACTTAGCCGGGTGTGGTGGTGCACGCCGATAATCCCAGCTACTCAGGAGGCTGAGGCAGGAAAATTGCTTGAACCTGGGAGGTGGAGGTTTCAGTGAGCCAAGACTGCACCACTGCGCTCCAGTCTGGGCAACACAGCGAGATTCTGTCCCAAAATATAAGTAAAAATAAAAATAAATAAAAAATTAACAAAAAAAATTCAACTGATGAAATTAAAAAAAAAAAAATGGGAACAACCTGAAAGACAAATCCTCAATTCTCAGAGACTTCACTCCTCTACAGAAATGCCTCTGCAAGGGTGCCTCTTGGTGCATAAATCCACGAGGGTTGGGATTTTGTCTGTTTCCTCCTATGCTGTGTTCCAGGCACATACAATAGTGCCTTATTGCAGGGAATAAATAAATATTTGTCCACTGAATAAATTATGGATTTTCCAGGAAAATGTAAGTTACCAAAACTCATCAGAAAAGAAAGACAAGAAATCTGAACAACTAGTTACCACAGATTAAAAAGTCAACGTCGTAAGAGCACCATGCCTTAGGAGCAGGCAACACCATCACAACCTTCAGTTATTTCCAACACAGAAACAGAAGGAAAATTCCCAAGTGCTTTTTATGCAGCCAGCATAGCAGTGAAACAAAACTCAACCAAGAAAATACACAGATATTAATGTGAAAATTTTAAGTAAACGACTCGTAAACCGAATCCAGCAGAGGACTATTCCACAATTAAGTGGAATTCTTTCTAAGGATGCAAAGGCTGGGCCAACATTTAAAAAGGTATTAACGTAACTGACCAAAGAGATCAAAAGAGAAAAATCCTAAGACCAAATTATCAGTTCCATAGATATAAAAAAGCATTTGAAAATTTAATCTCTAGGCCGGGTGTGGTGGCTCACACCTGTAATCCCAGCACTTTGGGAGGCCGAGGCAGGTGGATCACAAGCTCAGGAGATCGAGACCATCCTGGCTAACACACTGAAACTCCATCTCTACTAAAAATACAAAAAATTAGCCGGGCATGGTGGCAGGCACCTGTAGTCCCAGCTACTCAGGAGGCTGAGGCAGGAGAATGGCGTGAAGCCGGGAGGTGGAGCTTGCAGTGAACCAAGATCGCGCCACTGCACTCCAGCCTGGGTGATAGAGTGAGACTCCGTCTCAAAAAAAGAAAAAAGAAAAGAAAATTTAACCTCTATCTTCCATTTCAAAACTCTTTCCTCACTTGGCAACAGGCAGACCCTTGAGCGCTGGCCTGGTCCATCTGTCCCTCAGCCTGATGGCACAAAAAGCCAAAAGCCCTTGGTCTCTTTGCCCTGTGACCTGACTGCACTGATCTCAGGACTCCAGGAGAACCTCCCAGAACAGGAAGGAGGCACTCATACCCTGTGTGGCTTACAACATGCCCTGCTTGCTTACTGGTTTTGGTGGTAAACCTAAGGGTAAGCGACTTGAAACAAGCCCAAGTCATCATTGTCACCTACCTTCCCACCCTGGCCATCCTTTCTGGTCTGGCCCAGCTCACTTGGCAGCAGTGGGCTCAAATGGGAATTGACAGACGCAGCCCTCACTCCGCCCACACCTGCAGGCCCTGCTGGCCGCTGGTCCATCTTAGTCACATGCCTGTCCCCAGACCTACACACGGGCAAAGCTACCGCTGCCTAGAGGTTCACTCTTCCCATCACTAGGCATGTTTGCCACATGGAGATTTGACGCACACAACTAAAGAAGGTCTATTAATGTCAAAAGTTCAAAGAAACATGATTGCAGGAGAGAAGTCATACTGTTTGTATACACTTTGAGATAGTCACAAAGAACTACTGTTTTGTTAACTGACAAGTATTTGTTAAACTCATTTTGAGAAAATGGATTTCTACTGACCAGTAAACTAAAAGTGTGCAAAAGCATTTCAAATATAATGATGAAAAAATCCAGAATCATTACCATGAATTTGCTCGGCATTTTACGATCTTAACGACCCTCTATGTTGGTCTTCTTTTATTTGCAGTTGTAGTACTGCCCTTTACCTTTCAAGTCTCATTACCTTCACTCAGTGGTCAATAATCAGATCTCTATCTTTTCATGTAAAGTGTTTTCCATGGGATTTGAATGTCACTGACAAGAAAAAAAAAAAAAAAGCTATCGTTTTCAGTTCTTGTTTACTGCAATGATGGTTCTTCAAACTCAAGAAAGTCTTGGTCCATGGTACTATCCAATAAAATCCAAACAGCAAAAGTCAGCTACTTCTTTTAAGATAAAGAAGAAAATCCAATAATATATTTGACTCCCTTAGGAGAATCGATTTCATTCATTTTTCAAATCTCAGAAAATGACATTTCAGTTAACCTCAAAGATACAAAGATGCTGAAGATAAAATCCTCTGGGTTTTTTGAGAGATTTCTTAAGGAGATCAAGAAGTTATATTAAGTAGCACTGGCAGAGTATGCACCTTCAAGCAGTACAAGATTATGGAACCTTCTGTCTACCCATGTGGTCTCTCCCCATGTATCCCTATGTATATCTAGTTAAGGAAAAAGCAGTAGAACTTAGCAGGTAAGGGGCTTTGAGGTCAGTTTGGGTTAAAAGCCTAACTAGGTCAGAATCCAAGGTCTGTCATTCACTAGTTAAGTGGCCTTGGACAGGTAACTATTCTCTCTGAGCCTGTTTATTCATCTGTAAAACAGGAACAATAACACCTACCAATAATGATTGCTGTGAGAATTAAATGAAATATTTGTACAGTGCTGAGCAGAGTGACACAAAGTCCAGAGCTAAATCACTGGTAGTTAAGCCATCAGCCTTGTGAATGTGATACAGCCACTGGTCAAATCCTATAGCCTAGTTTATTACACAGGACACTTAGCTACTGCCCTGTACAAAATTTACTTGTAAGAATTTTGTCTTAGGCAGGGTGCGCTGGCTCATGACTGTAATCCCAGCACTTTGGGAGGCCGAGGCGGGCAGATCACTCGAACTCAGGAGGTGAAACCAGCCTGGGCAACATGGCAAAACCCCGTTTCTACAAAGAAAAAAAAAGGAATTTTCTCTCATTATAACAATTAGAACAACACTTATTGAACACACTATGTGCCAGGCACTGTTCTAAGTGCTTCACTTAAGTGTATTAACTCATTTAATTTCATAACAGTCAATGGGTGGTGGTGGGGGGTGATGCTTATTTTATTGGCAAAGGAAACTGAGGCCCAAGGTCACATAGTTAATAAGTGCTAGAGTCAAGATTTAAAACTTAGGTGTCTGGCTACCATATATTATTTTAGTAACTCTGCTGCCTCTCTGACTGTAACCTACGTAAAAGCAGACATAGGCTGGGTGCGGTGGCTCATGCCTGTGATCCCAACACTTTGGGAGGCCGAGGTGGGCAGATCACAAGGTCAGGAGTTCAAGACTAGCCAGGCCAAGAGGTGAAACCCCGTTATCTACTAAAAATACAAAAATTAGTTGGGTGTGGTGGTGGATGCCTGTAATCCCAGCTACTCGGGAGGCTGAGACAGGAGAATCGCTTGAACCCGGGAGGTGGAGATTGCAGTGACCCGAGATCACACCACTGCACTCTAGCTTGGGCAACAGAGCAAGACTCCATCTCAAAAAAAAAAAAAAAACAGACATCATTTATATCTTTAACACATATTGCTGCACAAAATTATGTATCAAGTATTTCATGTGGCAGTGAACTGTGTTTCTATCTCTTTATCTGTCCTTCAATGCTTTAGGCATAATACATTCTCAAAAGCTACTTGAATAGATGAAAACCAGTACAGGGCTCTAACAGGCCCTATACAATCGTCATCTTCCTCTCCCGCTCATCTCATCCCCTACCTCACTCCCCCTGACGCATTTGCTCTATCCACGTCAGCTCTCTTGCTGTCCTGAACTGCCATGTGCATTGCTTATGCTCTGGGGGCTCATTCAGTTGATAGTCATTTGTTGAACACCTACTATGTGACTTAATTAATAATTATTAATTATTAAGTAATACTTATTATTAAGTAATAGTTAATATTAGTGGTACACTTAATATTAGTGTACCAATGTTAATTTCTAAGCTTTGATAAATGTATCATGGTTATGTAAAGTGGTAACATTAAGGGAAGCTGGGTGGAGGGTAAAGAACTTTCTATGTATCTTTGCAACTCTTCTAAATACTTTAAATTGTTTTAAAATCAAACAATTTTTTTTTTAAACAACATACAGTCCCTACCTTCAGGAACTCAAATTCTAGAGGAAAAGGTAGGCGTGTAAGCAAATAAGTCCACCAAAGTGAGTGAGAACGTCCAGGTCAGAAGTCATGTTCGGGACAGGATGTGAAGGGGAAGGAGGCAGGCCGGCTGTGCCAACCCTGTTATCCAGTACAACCGTTTAACCTCCTGAAGCCTCAGTTTACTCCTCTGCAAAATGGGAACTAGACACGGGTCCTTGCAGGGCTGGTGGGAGCTCTGCAAACCGAAGTCACCATGGGACCGTTCATGCTGTCAGCAGCCAGGCCGAGCAGCACCTGCCGCCCTCCGAGTGACCCACCTGGAACTCCAGCCCGTAGATCACTGGTGCATCGTCCTCCATGCTGCGGGGAAGCGACCAGACCCCGGCCACTCACACGCTAAGGCCCTCGCTACGGCCGGCGCGTCCCCACCTCGCGGGCGTGTTCCCAGCGCCCATTCATTCCCTCCGCGCAGCAAACGACTCCAAACTGGCAGCCTGTCTGGACCAGAACAGCTTCCGTAGTGGCCACTTCCTATTTTTCGGATGTGTCATCAAGCTGTTCCTCACCGGTGACCAATGGCAGCGGCGCTGACTTTTGCGCATGCCCACTTGGGCTCACATCCGGGCTCTCAGCGCGCTGGCTACTGGCGGTGAGAACCCTGCCTGGAGGAAATAAGGTGGTGGGCGGAGCGGACCGTGGAGGCTGGCTCTGGGCGCAGACCGTCGGCAGCAAGCGGCGATTAGCCTTAGCTAGCCATCGCATCTAAGAATCGCTCGCCCCTTAGTTGGGCGCCGCCATGTATTGTCATTTGTACTGTACTTGGCGTTCCTGAGCGCTGGGTCAGCGCTTCACAAGCAGTGCCATAAGGAGCTTCATCCAACCCTATAAATAAGCTGTTAACACTTCCATTTTACAGATGAGACGCTGCAAAGTTGAGTGGTCGCAGCGCATTGGTCCATTGGGTAGCCAGGATGGGCACCTGAGCTGTCTGACTCCCTTAGGTTCGGCCCCAGGTGCCCTAAGTCAGGGCCATGCCAAATGTATTTCTGCAGGTGCCCATCACTGTGTGGCAAAGGAAGTCCTACCAAGGATGGGGTTATCATGAAAGCCGGCACCGCACCACTGGTGGTCCTGGACCAGCATATGCCTCCGAATGGGAGTCGGAAGGGAAGGCCCTGGGGTTCCTAGAGGTCTCCAAAGAATGAAGACTTATGGTGGAGAGACCGCCCCTCTTACGCATCCCGCCCAAAGTCCCTGCCCTGGCCTTGGGCCAGCAGAAATGGCATTGCAAGGACTCCAAAATACATCATAGCTGAACCACGCCGCTAGCCTGTTTCCACCGGAGCTTCCAGGACCCCGCACCTTTCCTCAATTTCTGTGATTAGCTTTCCCCTCTACCCTTTATTGATCTCCGTATCGGAAATGGTTGGGTCTGGTTTTGCTCAGTTGAGCAAGGCACGTGGTATGGAGTTAAGGCTGGATGAATATCTGTTGAGTGGATGAGATTTTAGAGATTACATTAGAAATCAAGCAGGCCGGGCGCGGTGGCTCACGCTTGTGATCCCAGCACTTTGGGAGGCCGAGGCGGGTGGATCACAAGGTCAGGAGTTCGAGACCTGCCTGGCCAACACAGTGAAACCCCATCTCTACAAAAAATACAAAAATTAGCCGGGCGTGGTGGCGGGCGCCTGTAATCCCAGCCACTCGGGAGGCTGAGGCAGGAGAATCGCTTGAACCCGGGAGGGGGAGGTTGCAGTGAACCGAGATCGCGCCACTGCACTCCAGCCTGGGTGACAGAGCCAGACTCGGTCTAAAAAAAAAAAAAAGGAAAGAAAGAAAAAGTAAGAAAAGTAAGAAAGCAAGTAAGCAATGGCCCAGACGTGAGAATCATCCTTTTCAACCGCTCCGTTTGCCGATATTGCGGAGCTAACAGGGCCTTCATACTTCGGGATTAAATCCACCCACCTATCACTGATATCTTTATCATCAATTTTATTATGCAACTACTGCAGCTGCATGGTAAGAAACTTACAAAATACAGATAAACACAAAGACAAATCCCTAGAAACACTGATTTCTAGGCTATGCTGGCCAATAAAAATAGCCTAAGGGACTCCCTTTCACCCGCCGCATCTGCCACAGGCTTGCCTATTGCCTCTGAGTGACAGAATCAGGCTAGATGGAGTGTTGTCTCCGTTCCCATTTCCAAGTACAGGGTCCGTTTCCCTCAACTACCGGCTCCTGATTGCCTAGACCCGTTCACATCTTGGGCTCCAGGCCCCGCTCGCAGCAGACGAACCGGAAACGAACCCCATTTCCGGCCTGGGACCATGGCCACGGGTTCCTGCACCAGGCATGCGCGGAAGTAGGCGTGCCGCGGCCCGGCACGCGCAGGCGCACAGAGCTTCCCGGGCTGCTGGTTCCTCTCGGATTCCCGGCTTCTGTCACCTTCTGGGACGCTGGTCACGGCCGCAGGTGACCCCCTTCCCCCAGCCCCAGTGGGCGGGTGGCAGGTGAGGATCAGGGCCTTGGCAGTCAAGAGGGGATGGGACCGTGTAGAGCCTCCTGGGGGAGGGAGCACGCCGGCCTCGGCCGCAGCCCGGGGGACCTTCTCTGGGGCCGATGCTAGAGTGGGCGTGGGGTCCGGGCGCGGGGTCGCCTGCCACCCGAGGGCGTCTGTGCCCCGCGGGCCTTGTGCCAGGCTCCACGCCGCCGCGGCCCTCGCGCTCCACGTCTGCAGAGGGCTGGAAGCGTCTCTGCAGCCCGCGGAGGTTACAGGGAGGGGAAGCTGGTGCGAAGCGGGTGGGAAGCTACCCGCTGGCGCGCGTCCAGGCGACCCCGAGACCCCCAGCCCCCCAGCCCCCCAGCTCCAGGCTCGGTGCCAGCCTGGCCCCCCAGCAAGCCCCTTAACTTCTCTTAGGCTTAATTCACCCTCCTGCGGAAAGAGGTTACTAATGACCTGCCTGCCAAACACAAAAAAGTGTTTGGATTCAACACTTTTGTTTCATTAACATGTTTTTGAATATACAGAGTCATGCTGTTTATTTTTCTACTCATTCTTTGTGCAAAATTGTATTTGCGAGATCCAAACATAATTTATATGTTAGATATGGAACAGTTCACCACTGATTTTTACTGCTATTTTAATATGTTTTAGTATACCACAGTCTACTTATTTACTTATTACTGTGTCTACAAGCAGTGTTTATTTCCACTGTTTTTTTCTTTTTTTTTTTGAGATGGAGTCTTGTTCTGTCGCCAGGCTGGAATGCAGTGGCACGATCTCAGCTCACTGCAACCTCTTCTGGATTCAAGTGATTCTCCTGCCTCAGCCTCCCAAGTAGCTGGGTCTACAGGCGCCCACCACCACGCCTGGCTAATTTTTTGTATTTTAGTAGAGACGGCGTTTCACCATGTTAGCCAGGATGGTCTCGATCTCCTGACCTTGTGATGTGCCTTCCTTGGCCTCCCAAAGTGCTGGGATTACAGGCGTGAGCCACTGTGTCCAGCCTGCTTTTTCTTTTAGGACTTAGAAGAAAGGTATTTTGATTTGTTATTTATGGAAGTCAGCATCATAGCTTACACTGCTCATGTACAGGTATTCCTCCATGGTATGTATCTAGCAATGGAATTGCTAGGTCCTAGGTACTATGACCGCATATTAATTGTCTCAACCAAGACTCCTTTAAGAGTGAAAGGAGACACTTAATGATTTTACTGAGGCCAAGCACAGTGGCTCACGCCTGTAATCTCAGCACTTTGGCAGGCCAAGGCAGGAGGATCACTTGAGCCCAGAAGTTTGAGACCAGCCTGGCCAACATATTGAGCCCCCATCTCTACGAAAAATACAAAACTAGCTGAGTGTGGTGGCGCACACCTGTAGTCCCGGCTACTCCAGAGGCTGAGGCAGGAGGATGGGCTTGAGCCCAGAAGGTCAAGGCTGTAGTAAGCCACCATCGTCCCATTGCACTCCCGCCAGGGTGACAGAGCAAGACTATGTCTCAGAAAATAACAATACTAATAAAATAATAGTAATAACTTAAACCATGGGTGAAAAATTGTTCTGGGAAAAATAAAAATGTATAGTTATTGAAGTGATAAGATATGTGCTTTTTAAACTTTGCTAGATAATACCAAGTGGTTTCTCAACAGGGATGTTCAAAGGTACACCCCTTTCAGCCCTGTTGCTTATTTTCCTTATGGATCATTTAGTATCCTATTATTAATTTGTAGGAATTCTGTATGTATTCTTCATGTTAATCCTTTCTCAGTTACATTTGTTTGTTTCCCTTTTTATAGATTCTTAATGATACATTTGTTTGTTTCACTTTTTTTAGATTTTTCATGATAGAACTTTCCATTTTAATATAGCAAATGTATCCATTTTCCCTTTATGGTTTGTACTTATTTATTAGGCCTAGTTTATTATCTTATATTTTCTTTTGAAAGTTTTGAAGTTTTGCCTTTCACAGTTAATTTTTTTCTCCCCCGAGATGGAGTCTTGCTCTGTCACCCAGGCCGAAGTGTCTTGCCACGATCTCGGCTCACTGCAACCTCTGCCTCCTGGGTTCAAGTGATTCTCCTGCCTCAGCCTCCTGAGTAGCAGAGTAGCTGGGATTACAGGTACCCGTCACCACACTTGGCTAATTTTTGTATTTTTAGTAGAGATGGGGTTTTACCATGTTGGCCAGGCCCGTCTTGAACTCCTGACCTGGTGATCTGCCCGCCTCAGGCTCCGAAAGTGCTGGGATTACAGGCGTGAGCCACCGCACCCGGCCACAGTTAAGTTTTTAATGTCCCTGAGATTGATACTGTGTCTGAGGTGAGGCAAGATTCCAAGTTTGTTTTTTCCCAGATGCATGATTTGTTGACACATCACTTGAGGGAAATCATCTCTTCCCTTAATGTGTGCAACACATTCCCTTGTGATAGTTCAGTCTTGTTTTCTGTTTTGTTTTGTTTTTTGAGATGAAGTTTTGCTGTTGTTGCCCAGGCTGGAGCACAACGGCACGATCTCGACTCGCTGCAATCTCCGCCTCCCGGGTTCAAGCAATTTTCCTGCCTCAGTCTCCCGAGTAGCTGGGATTACAGGCACCCGCCACCACGGCTGGCTAATTTTTGTATATTTAGTAGAGACAGTGTTTTACCATGTTGACCAGGCTGGTCTTGAATTTCTGACCTCAGGTGATCCACCCTCCTCGGCCTCCCAAATTGCTAGGATTACAGGCGTGAACCACCGTGCCCGGCCCAATAGTTCAGTCTTTCTACCATAGATTTTTTATGTATTCTACATAAGTAATCATACATGAAGAATGAAGGTTTATATTTTTTTCTTTTCAGTTTTTATTGTAGCTTTTAGTTATTTTTCGTGTTTTAATCCTGCCTGAGGCCTCTAGTATTAGGCAGCATAAAAATGTTGAAGAGGACATCTTTATATTTTTTCTACTGTTAAAGAGAAAGCTTTAAACGTTTCACCGTTCATTTGAGGTTTCCTTTAGGTTTTTGGTAAGTACCCTTGATTGCGTTAAGGAGGTTGCGTTCTGTTGCTAGTTTGCTGACAGGTTTTATCTTGAGCAGATGCTGAATTTTATTAGATACTTTCTTGTGCATCTATTGAGATAGTCATGTACTTTTTATTATTTAATCTATCAGTGTGTTGAATTGCGTAAAAAGATTTCCTAGCATTAAACCAACAGTACATTTCTGGGATAACCTGAGTTTGGTATGAAGATAAATACATTGCTGATTCAGTTAGCTAATATTTCAAGATTTTTGCATGTGTGTTCATGAGTGAGATGATAGTTTCCCTTTTAGTATGGCCTTGTCATATTTTGGTCTCAAGATTATGTTAGCCTTATAAAGTGAATTGGGTCATGTGTCCTTTTTCTTCTCTGCAAGAATTTTTGTACTATAGGAATTATCTGTACGCAATCTTTGGTAGACTTTACTGGTAAACCATCTGGACCCTATATTTTCTTTGTGAGAAGACTTAACTACTAGTACTTTTTTTATGGTTATAGAACTATCTGGTCATATACACATGGTTATTACTACTGTCTGCTTTACATTTGAACCTTACATTGGAACAAGATTAGAGTACGGAAACCCTTGAAGTGAAGAAGCTATTTTGCTAAAAATTATATGTCCCTTGTAACAAAATCTAATGTATATAATTTATATAGATGTAACTTTATGTCTTCCTATTTATAAAAGCGTCATCTAAATCATGTTTTGTATCATTTTTATTTGAGCATTCCTCTTGATTTTCTAGAGAAGAAACCCTCAGATCCTTACAAGCATTTTCCTGCATCTAGATTTTATTTGTGTGAAAGCAAAAGTGATCATCCCTGCCCTAAATTATTAGGGCTTTTTATTACTTTGGTATTTACTTAAGAATAAAATTTATTTTTTTATTCTCTTCTCAAAAGTGGTCTGCAGGTATTAATGAAAATTTTGGACATTCCTATTTTATCAGTTCTCTTTAATTTACATTTTATAAAGTTTTTAAGCTTTATAATTTAGAAGCATTTTACCTTAATTTTTATTATTTTGGTAATTTTTTCTAGGCGATGTTCTTTGTTATTGTATCTCTGATAAACAGATTTCCCTAAATCTTAGAAGTTTAAAGCAGCTTCATCTTCATAATAGTAAGAATTGTTTCTTAAAAAATGTTTCTTCACAAAGGCAATACAACTTTTTAAATCTGTGAGATTGAATCAGAATTAGCTTTAGAACCTAGAATCTTGTTAGGGCTGAGGGGAGATGAGAGGGAGGGAAAATCCCTTTCTCTCATCATTAGCTTATATGGAAATAAATTCTTATTTCTAAAATAAAATATGCAGACCACGGTAGTGCCTTCAGGTCCTGCTGGGAGACTCCAGAGGGCACTGCCTCAGGCTGCTTGTTTGCTCCTTGTGCCCAGCCTCTACCCCTGTGCAGGTGGGACCTGAAGGAGCAGCCTTAGCATGCCCAGGGGGCTTCCCCCTTTGGGGTTCTAGGGCAGTTTGTTCTTCGGGCTCGCGGTGAAACATGGCAGGAAACAAAGGTTTTCCTCCTTTTCATTGGATTTTTTTATTCATTTGCACTTAACAATTATTGGATGAATGCATAAGGGAATTAGTAACTGACCAGGCTGAACCGGAAACTTCTTCAAATGTGTAACTTGGATTAACTACTTTAACATAATGCTTTGGGAAGGCCGGCTCTTTGGGAATACTGTGATGGAAGTGCTAACAGTGAGAAAAGGGTAGCCTTATCTAGAGATCAGCTAAGTGTCATTTTTTAAGTAAAAAAGGTACGTGTTGTTTTATTCTGAAAAAAATCCCTTATCTTTTATCATAGTCTCTGAGATTTCCTTAACTTGAATTTGTTCACTATGAGAGTAAAACTACATAAAGTAAAAGTTTTTCAAGGAAAGGAACAAATACTTTTTTACAGTTCGAGCTCTTTGTTTCATTCTGTGGCCTCTACCAGCCAGTGGCCCCTCAACATGCCGGCTTCGGCTGGTCCTGGTTTCCCCACTCACTGGCTATGTGATTTTGGCTAACATAGCCTCCCAAGGCCTCAGTGTCCTCATCTGTGAAACGAAGACAGTGCTAGCAGCTATCTCGGAGTGGTGTTCTGAGAATCACATAGGCATATGTGTATACAGCCAGGGGCATAGTATGTGCCGATAAATGTTAGCTAGTTGTGTTGCCAGCTTCAGCCATCAGTGCTTAGTGAGCGTGCTGTTGTTTTCTTACTGTGTAAGTTTTTCATGTCATTCTCACTGTCTCAGATTTCCAGAGTTAGGCAGATAATATGAGCTGGGGCAGGGGGGCGGACAGCATGGGGAAGAGTGAAGAGACTATTATAAATTGAAGAGTCTTGGGAGAGGTTCATGGAAGAGGAGGGACTTAGCTGAGTCTCAGAATAAAATAGTGTTTATATGGCTGGAACCTCACACCTATTGGAATGGCTACTATGAAATAAAATAAAAACAAAATAACAAGTGTTGGCAAGGATGTGAATTGGAACGCTTGTCCGCTGTTGGTGGGAATGACAAATGGTTCAGCCACTATGAAAAACAGATTTTTGGTGCCTCAAAAAAAATTAAAAATAGAATTACCATATAATCCAGCAGTTATTTCTAGGTATATACCCAAAGTGATTGAAAGCAGGGTCTCAGAGAGATATTTGTACACCCACGTTCATTGCAGGAGTATCCACAATAGCTAAAAGATGGGAGCAACCCACATGTTCATCAACAGATAGCTGGATAAACCAAATGTAGTGTACGCATACCCTAGGTATTTTCCATCCATAAAAAGGAAGGAAAACAGACCAAACTGTAGTGTAAATAGCCCTTGAGGACTTCATGCTAAGTGAAATCAGCCAGTGAGAAGAAGACGATTATCAGGTGATTCTACTTACTTTATAGTGGGATGGTGGATGTTCTGGGCAGGGGGAGATGGGTATACGGGGGAATGTTTGATGGGGATAGGATATTAGTTTTGCAACATGAAAAGTGTTCTGGAGATTGGTTGCACAGAAATGTAGATGCACTTAACACTGCTGAACTTAAAGTGGTAAATTTTATGTGTATTTTACCATAATCAAAAGCACATGGATAAGAAGCTGGAGAAATGGAAGTCTGAGTCATTTGAGTCTATAAGCAATAGGCATTTTTCGGTTAAGGTAAACGAAGATCACACTGAGGGGCCTTCTTTCTGTCTTTGCTTTCAGGGGCATGGAGGACGCTGGCGGCGGCGAGGAGACCCCGGCCCCGGAGGCCCCGCACCCCCCTCAGCTCGCGCCTCCGGAGGAGCAGGGCTTGCTGTTCCACGAGGAAACCATCGATCTCGGCGGAGATGAGTTTGGATCCGAAGAGAACGAGACCGCGTCGGAAGGCTCGAGTCCTCTCGCGGACAAGCTGAACGAGCACATGATGGAGAGCGTCCTCATCTCCGACTCGCCCAACAACAGCGAGGGCGACGCGGGCGACCTGGGCCGAGCGCGGGAAGAAGCTGAGCCCGGAGGGGAAGGCGACCCCGGCCCGGAGCCCGCGAGCACCCCGAGTCCCACTGGCGAGGTCCACGGCGACTGTGCGCCCGAGGACGCCCCCGAGGACGCGGCCCCCAGGAGCGGAGGGGCCCCGAGGCAGGATGCGGCCCGCGAGGCCCCCGGCAGCGAAGCCGCGCGCCCGGAGCAGGAGCCTCCCGCTGCGGAGCCGGTCCCGGTGTGCACCATCTTTAGCCAGCGCGCGCCCCCGGCCCCCCGGGACGGCTTCGAGCCGCAGATGGTGAAGTCGCCCAGCTTCGGAGGCGCCAGCGAGGCCCCGGCCAGGACGCCGCCCCAGGCGGTGCAGCCCAGCCCCAGCCTCAGCACGTTCTTCGGAGACGCGGCCGCCAGCCACTCCTTGGCCTCGGACTTCTTCGACTCCTTCACGACCTCCGCCTTCGTTTCCGTCAGCAACCCCGGCGCGGGCTCCCCGGCTTCCGCCAGCCCGCCTCCCGTGTCTGTGCCCGGGACCGAGGGGCGCCCCGAACCCGCGGCCATGCGAGGACCCCAGGCCGCTGCGCCCCCGGCGTCGCCAGAGCCCTTCGCGCACATCCAGGCAGTGTTTGCGGGGAGTGACGACCCCTTCGCCACCGCCCTGAGCATGAGCGAGATGGACCGGAGGAACGACGCCTGGCTCCCCGGCGAGGCCACGCGTGGAGTCCTGCGGGCCGTGGCCGCCCAGCAGCGCGGCGCCGTGTTCGTGGACAAGGAGAACCTTACCATGCCGGGCCTCAGGTTCGACAACATCCAGGTGAGCCCGGGTCTCCCGTCTCCGCAGGGCGCGCCTCCCCTCTGCCTCTGAGACACGCGTGGTGCCCCTCAAAGGACGGGGAAAGCCTTGTTTTCAGTAGTTCCTAACATCCGATTGGGAGCGGCTGTGTTCCTCTGAGCCTGGGTAATTAGGCTCTGTTGGTTTCCCCAACAGAATGTATTTGATGGACTGCTACTCAGAGATGCAGAAATAAATACCAGCAAGGCAGACAGTTCTATGGTAGTTCTCTCAGTTAGTTCTCCATGTCCTGTAATCCATCTGACTTTTGAACTCCGGTAAATGATAAATCCATTTCTTTCTTTAAAATAGGGAAAAATACATTCCTGTAACATTTAACGTGCCTGATGTAGAATTTTTATAGGTTGAATAAGAAAAATATGCGTGACCCAAAAAGTAACAAATCACATAAATATGTAAATGTTAAGCTAAATAGTAATATAAAAATATTCGATCTCACTGCTAATGAAAGACAACGCAGGATTTTTTTCGGTGCCGCTTTGCCAGCCGGAGACCTCCGCGGTCGGCGATGCCCCTACCCAGGCCTCTTGGCCCAGGTTCGCCCACTAGGCCTGCCGGGCCGCCCTGGCTTGCGCTTTGGCATATCCCGTGGCCTCGGTGACTGTGCTCTCAGCCCTCAGCAGGTGGGTTGTGCGAGCAACCGAGTGCAGGGGTCCTGGGGCTTCTCCAACCGCCAGCACAGGAGTAGGCTCCACGCGGGGCTTGTAGCTGGACCAGGCATATGACAAGTGACTCCCACAGTGGACTCGCGCCTCCAGGCGAGGGGAACACCGTGGCGCCCAAACAGCGACGCCCGCGACCCCGAAGCCCCAGAAGGGATGTTGGAGCGTGCGCACGGCTCTTTTCGACCCGCGTCGATCCCGTTGAGTGGGGCAGCTGAAGGGAGTGGGGGATGGAGGGTTACAGGGTTACTGCTGTCTTGGTACCTGCATTCCGCGGAGTCCTGAGTTCCTGGCCTGCCTCCAAGAGAACGAGATTACGCTGACAACCAGAGTGTGAGGAGGGCGGACAAGAGATTTATTGAGCACAAAACAGCTCTCAGCCCAGAGGGTAGGCGAGAGTGGTCCCCCACCGGAAGTCAGGTGGTCTCTCTCCTGATGTGGCTGACTCAGGGGCTTTTTTGGGCTCAGAATGGAGGGGTGCATGCTGATTGTGAGCATGCAAAAAAGAAGGCTAAAACGAAGTCACCACTCAAAGGTGGGAACGATAGTGGAAAAAACCAACTGGGGAAGGGTAGGTATATGTAAAATAGGTGAAGAGGGGTAATCAGTCAGATAAAAGTGCACCACATGGGACGAGAGGGTCTCAGTCCCTTTCATGGGTTTATCCGGGACTTGCAGCCAGGCTTTAAACTCTGGAGCTCGACAGTCAGGTTTCACCGGGGACGTCCTGTCTGCCTAGAATTTGTCTGCCTGAGATTTGTCTGCCTCCTGCTGCCATCACACTCAGTCATTTCCATTTCCATCTATCAATCATGATTTACTGTTTGTTGAAGTGTGGGAAAATAGTCTCTCTAAGGCAGCCCAGATGAGACCAAAATCAGTACAAACATATTTAAGTAAATTTTAAAATGCACATCAACATGTGCATTTCCTTTGACCCAGAAATTCCACTCTTAGGAATGTATTGTGAGGAGATAATCATACTTGTATACATATACCAGCTGTTGAGATGTCTATCAGGGTGGTTTATATTTGCGAAGAATCTGAAATAATCTAAAAGCCCATTATTAGGAGACTTGAATACATATGACTCACCTCATCTTTACAATGGAATATTGATGTAAGTTTTTAAAATGAAGAAGGGATGAACAGGCGGAACATAGAGGATTTTAAGGCAATGAAACTATTCTGTGTGATACTTTAATGCTGCGTACGTGTTGTTATTTATTTTACCAAGCCCATGGAATGTACCACACCAAAAGTCTGCCCTCATGTAAGCTGTGGACTTCGGGTGACAATGATGTGTCCGTGTCCGTGTAGATTCATCAGTTGCAGTAAGTGGACCACTCTGGCGAGGTGTGTTGCTAATGGGCAAGACTGTGTGTTGGGGGGGACAGGCAGTATATGGAAGATCTCTATACCCTGCTTAATTTTGCAGCAAACCTAAAAGTGCTCTGAATAATAAAATCTTCTTCTGATCATTGGTGAGTAATAATATAAGTTGTAAAATCTATTTTTAAAAAACATATAAAACAGAATACTTAATGAGGTTCATCTCATACTGTTAAATTTGAAAATCAGGACAGACGATAACATGTAGCATGCATAGTATGATAAAATTTTTTATAAATATATGTATACATATGTATCAGATTAAATCATATGCATGTCAGTTTTAGTTTATTGCAACCAAATTGTGGGACAGGATTAGTAGTTTCCATATGGCACTGTACATGGCGGGGCTCCCCACCTCCCAGCTTACTGGCCTCGGGTCCTGTGCGCATCTGTTTTCCTGAACTGAAAGAAGGACCTACAGCCCTCTTTAGTGCAGCCACTTACCCACTCCTGAACACAGGCGGGTAAGCCAATAAGCCAGTTGTATGACTGTGACTATTTTTATTGAATTGATAGATGGCTGAGACCTAGGAGTGATGAATTCTCTAGGAAAAGAAAAGTGACATGCTAGAGAAATGAATCCAATTAATTTTTTCAGATAACTGAAGTGTAAGCCTATAGACATCCATATTTTGGGTATTTTACATGGCAGTCTTTCCAGAATATTCATTGACTAATTTACTAATATTCATTTACTGTATTTATTGTGTGCTTACTCTTGACCAGGCATTGGTCTAGGCATCCTTCTCTACCCTCTTAGGCAGAATATACTGAGCATAATTTAACCTTTGCAGGATCTTTTTAATGAATACCAATTCCGGACTTTGATGTCAGGGGTATTTGGATTGTAGGATTAGATTTATTTGTCGCTGAATCCTTACCTGTTCTCCCACTCCCTGGTCTTGTCTCTGTACCTTGTACCCCCAAGATGGCTTTCGTGTTCTTCTCCATGTTTCTTCCCTTCTCTCTCTTGTTTGTCCTCTCTGCTGTGAAATTCCTTTAACATCTGTGGGTCTGGCCTTTAGCACTGTCTTTCAAACCCTCTGATGCTCGCCGTTTCCTTCTCCCTCTGACTGTAACTCAGAGGAAATCTGAAGGCTGCCACAGGAAAGACTTAACCTATTGCTTCCGAACTGGGTGCTGGAGTCCAAGGGTCTTAGGTACATTTGGAAATGGGCAGAGGTGTTTCACTTTGGTTGACAAAAGGGCTGGGGTGAGCATATGACATTTTGTGAGTAGGGCTAAGAGTACTGAATACCTTGCAGCAAGCTCGAAGCTTTCAAGGAATGGAAAGCACCTGTTCCTTAAAAAAGCTGAAAGGTCTCTGATTCAGTCCAGTTTCTCCTTTTATGATGAGGAAACAGATCCGAATGACTTGTGCGTTCACCAGCAAGCCTGCCATGTCCCAGACATCCTCTCTCCTCGTGACACAAAGGAGGGCGTGGTGCCCATCCGCCAGCCCAGACCAGGACAGATGGCCTAGACAAGGGAAGGCAGACCTGCAAATGGATAATTTCAGTGCACTGTGGCTCAGTAGAGGTCCAGGCAGATTCCCATGGGCGTGTTCACCCTAGGTAATGCAGCCAGTACACTGCAGAGCCAGTGCCAGAACGCAGGTCCTGTTTGCCTTAGTTCTGGCCTCTTTGTCTTATGTTGTAGTTCTCTCTACCATAGAAAATGACTAATTATATTTCTCTCAGAAAGATTTCTGTTTAAATCAAAGAACTAGAAACAGCGCTAATTATCAGGGAAATGCAAATCAAAACCACAATGAGATATCATGGCTATTAACCAAAAACTCTGGAGACAGCAAGAGTTGGTGAGGGTGTGGGGAAAGGGACCCCTGTACACTGTTGGTTGGAATGTGAATTAATACAGCCATTATGGAAAACATTATGGAGGTGCCCTAAAAAGTTAAAAATAGAGCTGCCATATGATCTAACAGTCCCCCATTCTGGGTATGTATCCAAAGGAATTGAAATCAGGATCTCAGAGAGATGCCTGCGCTCTATGTTCACTGCAGAATTCTTCACAGTAGCCCAGATAGGGAATCAACCTAAGCGCCCATCGACAGGTGAGAGGACAGAGAATGTGGTATATAGTGGCTTGCGCCCATAATCCCAACTTCTCAGGAGGCTGAGGCAGGAGGATCACTTGAGCCATAGTGTTCAAAGCTGCAATGAGCTGTGATTGCACCACTGCACTCCAGCGTGGATAACAGAGTAAGACCTGTCTCTTAAAAAATAAAATAAAATATACACAATGAAATTCTATTTAGTCCTTAAAAAACAAGGGGAAACCTTGCCATTTGTGACTCTATGCATGCACCTGGTGGACATTAGGTTAAGTGAAATAAGCCAGACACAAGATGATGAATACCACATGATCTCATTTACATGTGGAATCTACAAAAGTCGGACTCATAGAAGCTGGGGCCTGGGAGTGTGAGGGGCATGGGGAGATGTTACTCAAAGGGTACAGAGCTTCATTTATGCAAGAGGAAGGAGTGCTGGGGATGGAATGTACATTTAGCATGGTGACTGTAGTTAGTAATACTGCAGTGTTTACTTGAAATTTGATGAGAGCAGATTTCAAGTGTCCGCTCACCACCCTCACACATGTACACACACACAGTAACTATGGGTAGTGACGGTTGTGTTAATTATTTGGATTTGGAATTCAGTACACAACGTCTCCTTATAACAAATGATCATGTTGTATACCTTGAGTATATATAATTTGTATTTGTCAACTAAATATTCTAAAATTTAAAAATAAAATGCCTTTTCTATTTACCCACATTAAAAAAAAAAAAAGAAGAAGAACTGGAAGTCAAATGGCTTCATTTTAGTGTTCTATAAAGAATGAGTAGCTAAGTCTCCTCCAGGGTCCCAGAAGTTGCCT